TCAAGGAGTTCTGGCACCGGTTACGGCGCCGGGAGTTGGGCGTGTTCGAGCCCCAGAGCTCCATATATATTAGCTGGCTGTTTGTGGTGAGCGTGGCCTTTGGCTACAACGCGGTCATCATATTCTTAAGATGTGTCTTTCCATACGAAAATGACAGCAATCGGTAAGAATATTCTGGCATTTATGTAGCATTTTATTAATAGCTAGATGTTTTAGTTTTGTCAAGAATTTTTTTTACATAATAGTTAATAAATTTATTTTATGTTATTATAGTTTTAAAGGCTTTTAAAATACTATTTTAATGGTTTGTTAAGAATATTTGTGATTTTGTTCACTATTTATTAATGGTTATGTAAATTTTAAGCGAAAACAATTTTATGCTATTCAGTTATATTTTTATATGCATTTTATTTTAATGGATGTGAATAATGTAGCATTTATCTAATATTAAAATCTCTTAATAGTCAGTTGACATTTATTTGCAATTTAAAAATATTTTATAAGTCATTATCCTTGACAAATAAAATACATTTCTAGTTATATAGCAGAATATTCTTACATACGATAATAAATATATTTTTAATGATTTTAAACATACATTGCTAACATTGTGTTCACACTATCATGTCTTTTGTTTGTCCAAAAAGACATATATTTTTTATATTTGACTACCTGTGCGACGGGATATACATAATGGATATGATATGGTTTAAAATGAGGCTGAAGTTCATAATGAACGGTGAGTGGGTGGAGGACACCAAACTGATCCGGGCCTACTACGTACGCCGCAAACGATTCATATCCGACGTGTTGTCACTACTACCACTAGATTTACTATATTTTACGTACGGTGTGGACAGACCGCTGCTCCGACTATTACGGCTCAATAGGCTGTTCAAAGTTCCCACGTTTTGGGAGTTTTTCTCGCGCGTCGACGCCATCACCAAATTCCCATATTTCATCCGGATCATTCACACGCTGTTGTACAAGATGTACTTGATACATTTGAGCTCGTGCGCCTATTATCTCATGTCGTGGTACGAGGGCTTCGGCTCCACCGTTTGGACGTATGATAACGAAGGTATGGGCGCTCTTAACACACCATTACTTGTAAGCCATTAACGGGTTTCGGAAGTTTTTTACGCTACGATAAGATTATGTTGAAGTTTTTGAGAGGTTTCTTGTTTTTTATACCATATATACTATAATAGTATTTAGAGATCTTTACAGAGATTATACGCGTGAGAGAGAGAGAGAGAGAGAGAGAGAGAGAGAGATTTCGCAGAGTCTTAAGAGCTTTAAATATAATCTCATTTCAAATACAAAATCCAACAAAAAATCTCAAAAACTATATAAAATACATTTTTCAAACATATTTTCACGCCCACTATAAAAACAATCTCACATAATATTATACCGTATATATCGACACATAGGAAACGCATACCTGCGCTGCTTTTACTTCGCTTTCCGTACGGCCACCTCCATCGGGGGCCGTATGCCTAAGCCCAGCAACGACTACGAGCGCATCTACATGATAGTGAGCTGGCTCATGGGCGTGTTCGTGTTCGCCCTGCTCATCGGTCAAATTAGGGACATCGTGGCGACCGCCACGCAAAACAAGACCCTCTACAAGGATATCATGAACAAAACGGTACGGTATATGCGCGGCCTATGCCTACCGCATCACGTCCAGAAGCGGGTGCGCCTGTGGTTGGCCTACACGTGGACTCAACAGAAAACGTTTGATGAGAATAGGATACTGGATCTGTTGCCGCTTAAGATGCGCACTGACTTAGCCCTGTCCATACACTACCACACCCTGAGTCGAGTGGAACTGTTCAAGGACTGCGAAAGGACATTGCTCAGGGACCTGGTGCTCAAGTTTCGGTCCGTGCTGTACTTGCCCGGGGACTACATCTGCAAAAAGGGTGATATCGGACACGAGATGTATATCGTGAACAAGGGTCAGGTGTGCGTTATGGACCCCAACGACTCCATGAAGGTGTTGGTCACCCTATCGGAAGGTACGGTAGTGTCACGTATATATTGTTAATTAAATTAAATAATTATTAACTACAGTACTGACAGTAATTTTTATTTTGTATTTCATTATACTGCAAATTACAGTATATTTATACCTATATATTTATATTACATATTAAATTTATTTACTAGTTTAATTTAATTCACCAGTACAAAATATTATTAATTAGCATTAATTTTAATAAATAAATAATAATTATTACAAAAATATACCCAAATATTTAGGTTCAGTGTTCGGCGAGATATCAATACTGGGTATCTCGGGGTACAACCGGCGGACGGCCGACGTGCGGTCCGTGGGCTACTCCTACCTGTTTGTGTTGAGCAAAGCGGACCTCATGGAGACCCTGAAGAACTACCCGGAGTACAAGGAGAACCTCATGCAACGGGTCCGGCGTTTAGTGAAGTGCCGCGAAACGGTCGACGACGACATCAAAGCCATGGACGAGATCGACGTCGAGTGTATCGTCAATCCGGGACAGCGGCGACCCATCACTCCGAGACTGGTCCAGACGGTCATCCAAGTCATGTCGTGCTCATCAGCCGACTCGCATGTCTCGCAACGGCTGCTCAGCCGGACGTCCCGTTCCTCACGGTCTTCGACGGGGACGCCGACAGCCGTTCCGCAAACGCCCACACTTTTGACACCCACAGGGCTGATACCGACGTTGACCCCCACGTCGACCGCCACTCGCTTCCTATTTCCATCCATTGATAGTAGTGGGGGTCAGCCGGTTGTGGATATAGGTGTCGATGTGGTGGTGGAGGAGCCCACACATGATAACGACTGTCAGCCCTTAGATGATAGTCCGGTGGTGGGCGGCGACCCTTTCGATGACAATCAGTCTGTGGTCGATAATCAACTAATCAATGATATTGTATATGACTTGTAATGTTAATATCATATCTATTACTAAATGAATTGTTTTTTGATTAAATAAATTGTTTATTTTTAATACGAAACAAATTTTGTGGTCTCAATTATATTTCATATGTAATTACAGTATAAATCCTTTTGAGTTATAATTAGGAGCTTGAGATTAAATCTTAAATTAGCAAATTTTATGTTTAACTTAAAACTACTTAATATAATAAGCATACTTCAAATTTTGAGATTAGTTTTATTCATTAGTTATATTTAAAGTACTGTAGTTTGAATATTATATAAAATGGCAATTATTTTATCTACAGCACAGGTAGAATAAAAATTAGAAGTTTAAATAATAAAAATTTATTATTTAAGTATCATTATAAATTATAATTTATAAATAAGTGATTAGACTAATAAGACTTATATAAAATTCAAAAGTAAAATTATTAACAAAAAGTGTATGCCCGACTTATTTTTATATTAATATTGCCAAGGAGTACTTTAATTTTTAAAAATCTATAAATAAAACTAGATATCATTTTGACAAATAAGTGATAATAAAATATAACAAACATTTGCTCATGTCAAAACACTTTAATATACTTGATATCTATCTCAAAACAACTTATGAAATAAATTTATAAACTTTTAAATTGAAAACATTTCAATTTGCACTTATAAGCAAAAATCTAATTTATTCAAAATCTCTCTCTCTCTCTCTCTCTCTCTCTATCGTCTAAATAATCACAAGGAATTAGTTTTGAAAGTGAAATAAACTGATTATATTAAAACTGCAAAACTAAAACCGCTGAACATGTGAATCATTTTATAATTATCTTCTTTATGTGAATGAATGAACAAAAATATTTTCTTTTAAAATCTTTTTAAAGGTCTTTGAGAGTGGTTTTGAAGGGCAACTCATTTTATATACACGCGCTAATAAACTCTGTATTTTTATTCACTATTTATATATGAAATACACACTTATTCCGCACATAAGTCATAAAAAGTAAGTTTTTTATATTTTAATGATAATTATTTACAATTTCTTTGAAATTTTAGTATAATTTTTTTGGATTCTGTCAAAGTTTTCGTGTTTTGAGTTTCACCGCTAATTCATATCAATTAAAATGAGTTTATATTTATAAATACTTTTTTAGCTTTTAAAATCAAAACACAAAATTCTTGCAAATTATGTTAATATCAGTTAAAGCATAATATTTTGTATTGATTTTTAAAATAAGTATTAAATTATAGAAAATTGACACACAAATTATTTTGTAAAACTAAACCAATTATTTT